ATGATGATCTCGAGATATAAGATCGAGATCAAAGAGGAACCTCAGTTTGCGAGTGAGACGTTTGCAGAGAAAAGCGCTCGAGTGTTGGCGTCCAAGCCTGGAATTACCATGACGTGAGTGTTTTGGTTTGAGCGCGAGACAACTCATTCTTACTGGGGTGTAGACCTCTTCGCGTTCCCTTGGTTTTCAAGCGCCGTTGAGCCTATAGTCCATTTCCATAACATGAATAGACACTACTAGCTCACCTTACTCTGTATTTATATCTTGCTGGGGAACTGCAGATGGGGCGAGAAATTGTTGGAGCCGTTCCAAGCAAGTTTAGGCTACCTGCAAGCAGCAACACCAGTGGATATTACGAGATTGTTACCTGAACGTATTCTATTACCCGAACGCGTTCAAAGAGACGCAGAGCTAACAGGAGGGCAGCCCAAACAGGAATGCATACAGAAGGAAAGCTAGCTTGAAACTAGCATTGGGAGCATACAAAGAGCCGTTATTACGGACAAACAACTTAGACACGCCGGAAAGTAGATTGAACACATTACTACATTTGCGATGCATCACCGATAAATGAGGACACAACGTAGAAATAAGAAGGGGTCTGATTCGTTGCAACATGAACTTATGATGGCAAACTACATCGTGGCGGCAGCAAGCGTGTTATCTAGCAGGGGGACTGAGAGTTATCTACTAGCAGTCATCAGCCAGGGCTGAAAATATCTAAGGGTATACCTGCAACTCTACCGGGGGCCTTATATTGCCAGCAGCAAATGTAGTCGAGAGGAAATAACTTATAAGCATAGCATGTCCTTCCGCTGCGCCGTATTCTACTGGGTATAAACCGAAATTGGGAGTCAAGGTATATGAGGGCGGGCATGACAACCTCGTCTGGGAGGAAGAGATGATTATGGTCTACTGTGCAATGTACTATGGGGTGCAGGTGGAAAGCGATGTGGTCATTGCGACGTTGATGCTGGTAGCCTTGTTCTGTATGCATTTGACGGAATACGGAGAGCTTCTCAAACTAGATGTTCTAGCTCAGGCGGCGGAAGGGAAGAGGAGTCTATTGCAGAGATCTTCGATATATTCATTGTGCCGCGAGAATCGAGAGTATCTTTAGGGGATGAATGAAACTCGCCCGTCAACGATCCTATGATTTCGAAGCCATGATAAAGGCCCGAGTAGGTCTAGATCCAGATTGGCATTACGCATGTAACGGATAGGCGATTCGTGGTCATTGAGATTATATTCAAAGCCGTCTGATTCGAAGGAGGATGCGGTACCGCCATTGAAGCCAATGGAAGGTCGTGCTCAAGCTCCAAACGGGTGGGGGAGGGTAAGAGGTCTGGTGATAAGTTGGAGGTGTTTGAGATCGGGTGAGAGATGAATCGAGGATGGAGCCCGTTGGATCATCGCTGTGTGTCGATGGTGGAGAAGATTCTGGGTGGAATAGAATCGATGGTATTGGTCCCGGTCAGCGTTGGTCCTTGGAACCCGTCCGCAAGTCCTCCAATTGTTAGATTTTCCCTTTTAACCTCTCCTTTTCCTGCATCATCTCCTTCATCCAGTACCGATTCCACTGTAGATGTATACACGAAGTTGAAAACTGAGACCTGAGTGGGAGAGAGATGATGTGATTGTGAAGGGCTTGACCAGTGTGGTTTGGGACACGCGAGTTCGGGGTTCATGGAACATCGTGGAGGCTGTATCCAAAAAAGTTGATGATGTGAATACTGAAGGACAAGTAACTTTACAATGGCCTGGTTCTCCTCGACTAATTACTTTGATTGCGGGTTTAAACGTTTATGCCCAGCAAAAAGCCGCACTGGGTTGATCTGTGCTTTTATATTGAAAAGTGGCCGATTTCTGGGCAGCAGCTGTGAAGTGGTTGAGCTCTGTTAATCTCGGTCTATCTCAGCCTATCTCAGCTCTGCACAGTGTTGGGCTGATGCCCATTTCATTCAATTACGGCTTTCAATACATAAGCTCAGCATGAGTTTTCACTTCCACGCTGGGCAGGGCCGAGACTGGCTGAGGTTGGCTGGATTTATATGTTGATCAGCCTGGTGCCCAGAAATCAGCCACTTTTCAAATATAAAAGCACAGACAAACCCAGTGCGACTTCTCACTGGGGTTTATGGCCTGTTGCTTGAATGTTTGTTGAACTTTGAGCTTGAGTTGCCATCGAGTAACGGCTGAGAAAGTTACAATAGAGAATCGACAACGTTGTAATGTTTCTGAAACGGCTCAAGGCAACTCAGAAGAGAGTCTGAGTGTACGATGAGCGCAAATCACTGGACGCAATAATGCGACAAGAGACACGAATGAGACGTTAGCATTTTAAGCAGGTAAGAGTTAAGTAAGAGAGAGAAAAACTGCGGCCCCTGCTCCGCAATCAGATAATTTATACTTGAAGCAAGAACATACAAGTTACAACTGGACCAAGTGTCTATTCAACTAGGGCAGATAAAACTTATTTCAATCCACATCCTCTGCCCCCTAAATATACTCTCACGAGTCTGAGTGATCACGAAACCTTGAGAAACATCCACTAAAGGCACATCCATACCATGCATCTCGAGCCGGGCACCAGTGTGAATGAGAGGCTCCTCTGTGTCCATAGAAACATGGCATAATACCCAGTATGCCTTTCCCCCAGATCCCTCTTTGCTCCGTTCAGCAGCAATACCTCGACTCTTTCCTTCCGGATGCAAAGTCAACTGCAACTCCGACAGCGAATCGAGAAACGGGGCCTCCGAAAAAGTCAAGCACCCGCCGGTGTCGAGTGTAATGCACAGCGGCTGTGGCCCTTCGTCTCGGTCCATGAGGAGCCATATACGCCCAGTGAATTCGGCACCATCGTTCAAAGGTATATCGCAGGATAGAAGACTCAGATCCGAGTCATTGTCAAAATTACCTTGATGAGTTGGCAGAAGCAGCGTCCCTGCAGTATAGTCAGACAAGCGATACAGTTCAAAATGATGGCCAGAGTTTCCACAGGAAGACATGAATTCCAAAAGAACATATCCTCCTGGTAGAAAAATTGGGACCGAAGAGACATCGACGTGATTACACTAAATTTTAGTGAGTTTTAGGATCTTTGTAATAAAGGTGAAAATGGATGGGGTACCTTGAATTCAGAATGTATAGGATAGACTGCTTGTGATGGAAGGTGTACAGCTCGTATGCTTCTCATCGTCTTATCTTGTATGATAGCAAACCCATCGTCAGACAGGTAAAGTTCGTCGGCCTTGTCCACATTCAAAATTGGAAAATTATCGACAGAGACAGCTCCTAAAGGACTGATCTTGAGCAATAACATCTCACTGCCAGTGAAAGCTGGAATTAGAAAAAGCTAGGGACAGTAAAAAAAGCTTACGATGAGTATGCAGTCCAAAAATAGAAAGAAAAAGTCGCAGTCGCCGTTCTCGACAGTTCCGCTCCAATCGAGCGCTGTCTCCATGAACCTGAGATAATCATCCTGGGGTGCATCATATACAAAGACCTGCATCTTTGTCTGGATATCAAAGACACGAATCACCTTGGAATGCGAGAGGACAAGATAGCGACCCGATATAATTCGATCCCATCAAAAGATTGTCCGCCATAGGCAGCGCTATCAATTGACCAATAGTGTTTGCAAACAGGTTTCGCAGAAGGGGTTGCCCATAGGGTATCGAGTTGATATGCATGCAGCAAAACGCGTTCAAGATCGCCCACGGTCTGAGAGTCTAGGTCAACAGCAGGCATAAACTTGTCTTCGGAGGATTTATATGCGGTGGTCCAGACATGTCGGCCTAACGTGATAGCTTGGAACCGCTTACAAGTCTACACCATATTAGACCGAGTATTTGACAAAGGATGCTGTTTGCTCACTTTTCGGACAGACAATATATCTGGTGGCCCCAAAAACCTGATAGTATTGAACAGAATATCATCGGGGAGTTCGATAAGCAAGGGCATGATGGTAACAGTAAGCTCTGGGCGTTTATTGATTGATTATTGACGCCTGTCTCAGATCTTACTCTCTAAGGTTTTTCGTAGACTCGCTAAAGACTACACCTATGTTTTGTTAGGGAAATGACATTGACACTACTCTATTTCTGACTCTATTATCCTTCTCGCGGCTCAAGATTTCAATTAACAGCCCTGGCCCTCATATGATAGTCTAGAAGATCTGGTAGTAGTAAGTTGTGTCCTGAGTCCCTTGGAAGACATGTTACAGACGGCTCAATAAATCACTTATTCCCACTACTAGTCCCACTGGATGCTACAGGCTTCTTCAGCCCTTCATTACCTTTGTGACCGCCGTTGGATGCTACATTGCCTTTACCATTAATCATTAATTGGGCCTGTCCAGATGCAAAAAGCCTCTTCAACCTTCCATTGCCAGTACCACCAGCAGCCGATGTTTTGACTTGGTCTTGTTTCTTACCGCCTCCTTCGCCAGACCATAAAGTTTAAAACCAGCCACCGAAACTAGGCTCTAGTTTGAAAAACCCACTTCAGCTTTACATCGAGGTTTATCCGATGGTATGAATAAAGTGCGAGGAGCAGTTGAACTGTGCTGTTGATGGCACAGTAACCACTGCATCAGAACTCAGTGTCAATGAATGCTAATGCGCTGGACAAGTAGCTCCATTAATCACCGTGCGGGTACCTAATCCTGTCCTCGGCATCTCCAGCGCAAAATTTTGATGAACTATGCAGGAATATTATGCAGGAATATTGAGGAATATTGAGGAATATCGATACACTAAGTACATAACTAATTCAATCTCGATGTCCTCTTCCAGCCTCCTGGTAGGTTCTTGGCATTTGACCATCAAACTAAACATAAAATTGAGCCAGCCAGAATCGAGTAATTACTGATTTACATGGCCGCTTCTATTTTGCTTCCTGGGTGGGCAGCACTACGCAGCCCTGGTACCTGGGGAGTGCTGCCCAGCTGCGAGGGCCAATAATGTTTTTAAAAGAGTATTAAATTCCTTTTTTTTAAAAAGACTTTAACATAACGGTAATGCAATTCACTCATAATGGATAAGATTAAGGTTCAATTCCTTTAGGTCTTAAATATAAAAATTTTCAGTAAAGGGTTTTATAGACTAGTGATGGGCAGCCTGGCAGGAGTAGCCTGCGTAGCGCCGGACTCTGCTGCCCCTACGGAGAAAGAGCGTGCTGTAACTGGTAGAACGTCTGTACAACTACTGCGGAGCAAAAGTACGGTACTCCAAGTCGCCCTGGTTAGATTTGTCAATGTCAGTAAAGCTACCACCACTGATGTCGTTGTGCGTTGCCTTGGTGACATTCACTTCGACAGGGACAGGTGTAGGCATGTTGTCACTTCTGGAGAGAAAGCTGATCTTTCCAGACCTTGCCGCCCTCGGTCATGCGATTCTGGACTAAGGACCCAAGGTCCACGACGTTGTGAGTGAGGGATGATTTTACGGAATCGACGCAGAGACATTCGGGAATTCAGCCTATGAGTTTAACGGTTAGACTACGAGAGACGTATACAAACCTGAATGAACATTTACATTGCCAACACAGAATTTGCGTATACTAGAAAAATTAATTGAGTACTCGTCCTCAAAGCGGAACAAAAACTTACATTTTGCAATGGTGAAATAAAGCGCAATGAATGACAAGTTGGGCAAAGAAACAGTAAACCACTAGGGAAAAAAATAATAAATCAATGGTTCAGCCCGGGAAATAATCCAATCTTCGAGTCGAGATCTCACTGCTACAGATACGGCTATAGTAGCGACACTATCAGAAGCAGTTATGAATATGAAGTTGCCGATGAATATCTTAGTAATTCGCTTACGCTGTAATCGAACCTGTTTCAGGGTGTAAAGAATCAATGAATCGATTACACTGTGCAGGCTGAGAAAACGAATCAGTCTTGATCGTAGGTTAGAACGCGTTTTTCATACGTGCTAAGTTGTCCTCGGTTTTGCTTCAGGATAATCTACAACCACATATGAGCAGTTGAACATGAATATTCAGAGAAAAATCTCACTGTCATGATGCCAACAATCAAAAATGTCAACAACACAGGAAAGCATCATTCGGTTGTGAAAACCCACTGACATAGCAGACCGCGATGAGAGCAATTCACATACAAATAAGTTAACTCACTCCGATTTCATGTTTAAATTTCTCGAAGCTTTTTGTTTTTATCATGAAGACAGTCGTGACTACAAGGAGTGAAGGAGTGTGCATCAGATATGAAGCGTTGGACTACTAGGGAGATCGGAGAAAGAACATACCTGTAGCTGCAACTAAGAAAACAGTTTGTATCCACTGTTCTTTGTATTTTCCACCCAAATAGCTAGGCTTACCTACACGAAAGGTCGCGAACACCATCTGATTTTGATTTAACATGATACAATTTTGGGCTGTCAGTGAGCGAAAGGTGCTAACAATGGTGCAGTTATCCCAATAGTTGCCACCGCTGACTGGACATCATCGTTAGTTCCAACGACAAGGGCTATACTGATAGGAGCGATTTACAGCGAAAGATTCTCCACGAGTAGACACTAAAAGCATGACCATCATTTACTTTCCTCTGATCGCAAGAACGGCGATGCGGCGGACCTTTGTGCAACAAACGTCAAAATTCCCTGATTATGTACATATTAGAAAGTGATAGATGAAGATAGTGCTGAATTCACGGTGATCAGAATTGTGAGCTGAGCGCAAGAAATCCTGTGAATTAGAGAGTCTGGTAGTGGGCATAAAACAAGCGCTTACTGCCATCGTCCTAGTAGCGTAAAATGAGCGTGGAATATTGAAAGAGGAGGTAGGTAGGGGACGGACGTTGGTATGAAATCTGCACGGGTGCAGGCCCCAGTGATAAACCATATCCAAGCACTGTTCCACAAGAGTATTGAATGTAGAAGATCAAAAGACACTATTATCGGATGCGGTGACTCAAAATAATGCGAAGAAAAACGCAGGCCAAGCGGGACGACGTACAGAAATGTGGCGACCTTGGGGCAAATATCAGTATTGAGAAAGTAAGGCTTGGGGATACTCACAAGAAGCCTCATACGCCATGTATCGGATGGATTTGGAGAGCGGAAATAGACAGCGGTTTGTGCGAAGCCAAAAACTAAAAGGAAAAAATTTCCATCGTCAATAGAGGAGAAGTTTGACGCGAGCGACGCGCCAAGGCTGCTTCAAACATACACCAAAGCGAGAGGAAAACCGACAATGATCGCTCCAAGCGAAGAGTTTGTTGACATGGCGAAGATAAAGGTCAAACGAATATGAGGTCTCATAATACATATGTAAGCGAAATCTAATCTAGCGCCGAGAGCGATAGGGCGTAGCGGGCCGGGTTTTAGACAAACGCTCAACGGTTATTCCTTCACAGATTCAAGTTTCACACCGTCGAGTGGGTCCGGGCATGTAGACAACGTAGGAGACATTGAGCGGCAGCTGTTTCAAAGTTGTGTGCACTGGTGAGGTCTACAATGGTGAAGTTGGGGACATGGGATTGGGCAGAGGATTGGGCAGAGGATTGGAGAGATGCCGAGACGGAGAAGGGGAAGGAGGGCTGAGGTAACGGACAAGGTGCATGCGAAGACTGTACGAGTTATGGAGGAAGTAGGATACGGGTTTTTTCATAAGAACATCAGCGATTATATCATTGAAGGAAGGGGAACCGAGGCGTAGGGTAAACTCACGTGTACAGATGTACCCGGATTGCCTAGTACACACGACACGGGTGTTTGCTTGATAGACCTTTGTGCTGGGGATCTTTAGCTGTGGTTTATCGGAGACATTGTATGTATTTGGTCTGTCAGAGTTATTCAACGACGAGGAATGTTGGTGTATCGGAAGCCGTAAGTATGTCGTCGTCGGAATCATTATCGTTTTGAGTCCATTCCTACCATTTCGCTCTTGCAGGCTACATCAACGAAAGGAAAAACCGCAAAATTAGCGCACACCCCAGACCCTTTCCAAAAACCAAGTTTCGAATACAGTACTCTATATACCAAATAAAGCATACTACACACGCTACGTATTCAAGGCCCTCCCACACGCCTCACGTACATGCCACATATGTCCCTATACCCATGTCCCACCTTATCCGACAGCTCTGATACTGTCTCTAGGAAAAGCCCAATGCCGAGCAAACAACAAGATCTCTGGCAATGATAATGGGAATACACGGAGCGAAGGAAGATGGGGACGAGGGCAAATGTAAGGAGTGTGTGACGAGGGTGAGCTTAAAGGTGAGCTCGAAGCTGCTGCCGTCGTGGCCACGGGCTATGAAGACAGAGTAAGGATTTGCGAGGATGGAAGAAAAATACTGAGAGAGGGACGGGGAGGGAAAGGTAGTAACGAGAACGTTTGAGACTGTACTGTACCTGCTGTACCGGCAGGCACAGAGGACGCCTTGGCCTAGAAGGGTGTGGATAAGATAGGGACTTGAAGGCGAGGTCGGGTACGTGTATGGGAGGTCAAAAATCCTGTAAACAAACGAGATAACATAAGTCAGAACTTGAACGCGAACGCAAGGAAAGAAACAAAAAAAGAATAAGCCTAATTAGAACTAACAAGAGAATATTAGTGGTAACATCCTTCAACGTTCAACATTCAACTTCAACGTTCAACGCCGGCCACTCGACTTTCAACTATCATGAATCTACGTTGCAAACAAATAAGAAAACCGAAGCTAAACACTCACATAAGTACCCAGTAGTGTTCCAACTAGCGATGACATCGTTATTGGTACCCTTGAAGAACAAGACGACCTGAAAAGTCACGCACTCTCAACGAGTCCCTCGGCACAATGTGTAGAGCATATATATGCATTCAGATTCAATGATCCAGAAGATAATAGGGATCATCAAAAGGTATACCGGAATGTAATACGCGTACTGGACAAGTACTATTGTCCATGAATCGATACCGCGGGAGTGGAGGGTGATTGAGAGCAATAAGGGCGAGATGGGAACGCGCGAAGAGGGTGGATCCGGTGGATGTCGATGAGAGTTGGAGTGATGGAGAAGAGGCGTAAGGAGAGACTGAACCAAGAACAAATTGAAATAGAGACGCCGATTGCACCTGTGAGGACGGGTTTGGGAAAATAAGCAAGAAATAAGTGTCCTGAGGGTGGTTGACGTCGAAGCCTGGTGGTCAAGATACGCCGGAAAAAGAAATCATGGAACCACGCACGAAGTACTCTGTCTGGGCCTGAGCGCTGAGCAACCCCACGACAATAACCGTCCGATTGGAAATGAAATGTAAGTGAGGTTGAAGTGAGGCGTATGCGGCCATGGCTGAAAGTAGTTTTGGCGTTATCTAATTTGTTCTTTCTGATCGAAATGTTATGGGGAATAGACGTCTAGACGTTGAGCTTGAAACTGTAAATCATGGAATGTCATGCTGGTTTCATTGTCGGATGAAGATACCAACAGTCTGTTGATACAGATTTGAGTAAAGTTTTGCTTAGGAGTTTGAGCTTACCTGCATCGAGCAAGTTGAGCATCGTTTCAAGGATAACAGAGGGCAGAAGCGGTTTTGTGATTCCAAGGACCTCGATGAGGTGTGGGAGATATCGAGAGACAACAGTCCAGCAGGCTTGCTTATACGGATCACGTGGAACCCCTCATTCTTAATCTCAGATTCAAGCGTCCGAATAGAGCACTCTAGGGGCCTAGCATCCGAATAAGTTTCATTATGTTTACTAGTGCCGACTAGTGTCTGCCGAACTGTCCTTGATTAAAGGCAGCTATGTTGGATATCACAAGATATCAGTATCATTGTTATGATTGATCAAGCTCATAGTTATCTCACACTCATTATTGACACATACTTACACTACTTATTTCCTATCACCCCATTACCAGTATATAAGCAGTAGCTAGATATACGCTACCTTATCCGATTGCCCCTCTCTCAGTGCTGTAGGGGGCAAACGGAATATATTGTGCTTTTCACTCTATTCTGCCATTGTGCTATATATTATCCCAAGTGGTAATATCGTGTTCTATTTTATTATCCAACAAGCTATGCTTTGTCGGGGTTCTGTGTTGTTGTTGCAGTTAGAGCAGCG